ACAATCTCTCGAAAAAAAATACATCACAGAATTTTCCTTAGATTCTAAATGTGAACAAGGGGTTCTCAATATTTCTTCAGCCACTAGCATTAAAACGTAGTTACGAAAGAAATGTACTCACAAGATGAAGATATGGAAATTAACTAAAGGAAACTGTTGGACCTTTTCTTCAACAACTTAACTGATCGCATCCTTTTGAACAATCTTGAGACGCTGACGACAGTGATGCTGCCAGTGCACTTCCTGACGTCAGGAGTAAACTCCACATTTACTCTTCGGCGCTATACTCTCAGAGATTCTTGAAATTGCAAAAAGAGAGAGACCAGATCGTTTATTTCTCAACATTAAACTTGGAAACGTTAAGGTTATTGGTTCATTTACCTTGAATGTTAAGATTTGTACAAAGGTCGGAAGGTACTGGTACATAAAAGGTCTCTAAACCGAAATTTGTAAGAACAGTCTACGTGCTGCAATAGTCAATGAGTAGTGTGAATGCGAATGCTATTTTCAACCTCCATGTAAAATTGCATGTTGAATCCATGGAAGATGCCAGCAGCGATCGTTACGACGCATGGAAGTTTAGCACGTGTGCACGCATGACATGGTAGTTTTTAAAAAAATATACCGCACCTTTATCTTTGCAATTCTTTGAGGTTCGAGGTAGTTAGCTTAATTAGGTCAAAGGAATCATCATCATCATCATCATCACCGCCATCATAGTTGATCAACACATCGCGGCCTCCAGTTAGGAAGTACGTGTTCAGTTGGTCTGGCTTCTTTGATGCATGTTGTTATCATCGTAGTTGTTCCATTCTCAATGGAGTCCATTACTCTTTCTTTCTACTACAAATCATGGGTCGCTCTTCTAAACAAAGTTTCCTCCGTTTCACATTCATGTTATAGGTACCATGTACTCTGCAATCAACGGGGCGATAATTGCAAAGAAGCAGGCAGAGCAGCAGGTGGCCAGCGGGCCTGCCCGGGCGATTGTTCCTGTGCGGAGTGCCGACCTTCGTGGGCCGCCGTCGTGCGCGGCGCCCTCATCGCCCGTCGGCGGAGGTTGGCGCTACGTTGGGGCTGCGCAGAGCGCACGACGCACAGCCACACTCAAGTGGAGCCAATGCCGCTTCCGAAGAAGAAATGTTTTCCTCTAATCCGATTGCGGTACTCGAATAATATCACAGTCTTGCTCATTCCTGTTTAAAAGTGCTTACTTTAAGCTTAATTACTCGATATACTTCGTCATTCCGTCTATAGCGAACAATTACACTGCCTCCAGATCAGTTGTCTTATTCAAGTTCCAAACAAAAGAGTATTTTCCTCGGTGTGATTGTTGGTTACAAAATATTTTAATCTGAAAGTCTCCAGGTTCATATTTTTTCAGATGCAGAAATTATCCAACAAATATAATCCAATGCACATTCTGGTAAATGGATTACATGAAAACAAAAAGAGGAATGTGAAAAATTTACGTTGTAAACAATTTGGGGGAAATTAGAGAGGAGTCGGAATTAGAATAATAATAGTTATTTTACTTTATGGGCTTAAACTGGGTCTTAACTACAGGTTTAAACAAACTCTGCCCGAACGAAAGGCTATATTATATTAATTACTGAATATCCATAATATATCGCTGTAATAGCAACTCAAGCATTTTATAAGAAAAAGCTTAATAGTAAGTTCTAAGTACATTCAACATACTCAACTTCATAACCTTTTTCTTATAAATCATTATCTCACTTAACATATTTTCTGGACATCCACAACTAAATTTCCCCGTCTTTTGTACTTTATAAAATGAAGTATATTTCACAATAAAATTAAACCATGCATTGCAGCGTAACATTGTTGTTACAAATTTGGTAAACATCGCATATAGTAAGTATTTAAAATTCATTTTATAATATATCTTCTTAAAAGCTACAAATAAAGCATACGTGTATGCTATGATTTAAACCTAAAACTTTCTTGAGTTGGACTCCCCTGTAGAACCACCTGAATGAAATTGAATACTACATGTCTCTACAAAACAATACTACATGTCATACTACTGTCAATACAATACTACATGAAGTACCCATATATACAATGGATACAATTTTTCACAAATTAATGAAATGCGCTAAATAGTCTTCACAATTACCGAGGTTATGACGCGTCAATAAATACGAACTCATTGTTTCTCAAATTATCAACTTATTTGTAATAAAGTAGCATTTCACAGTCCATCCGAAGCAGAGTTCGCTAAGGTAGTAGTGTAGTGGTGATCTCGATCGAAGGATCGTGGGTTCGAACCCCGCCTCGGGCATGGATGTACTTGTGAGCGTCTTTTCACTCTTTATCATCCTAAAATTTCATTAAAGAAGGATTAATAATTCCCTGCGCGAGCACCGGCCTTTGCCCTTAATGGGGTGTGCAGTTGGCTAATAAAAAAAACTTTACAAAAAATATTATTGGTAATTTCGGTTTCTAAGAAATGATAACTTATTTTTACTTCTTGACTCCGCAATTTCGCAAACCAAATCCTCATTTGAGAAAAACTGAACGATATTAAGGGCTCTGATCGACGAAAATGGATCAAACTAATAATTTGACATTTGATGCACGCAGTACAGAGATTACGTAATCTCTTTGATAGCAGACACGTATCGTTTCACAGAAACGTGGCTTGGTAACCACAGAGAGCACTTGCCCGGAAACACTTCGTTACTCTGCAAGTGCGAACGCTCTCCGCCCCGCGCCAAGAGTGGTGGGACAATTTGAAAAGCGCGGCCGGCGCCCACGAGCAGCGCGACCTCCAAGGGCACTCGGCGCAAAAAGCGCTGCCAGAACCAACTGTTGCACGGCAACGCGACCCGTGCAACGGAGCCCTCGCGGCGGCTCCCGAGCAGCGAAGACGCCAACTAGCATACACAGATCGGGGTAATTCGGTACAGGATTATTTCAACAGGCGCTTAGTTCATTGCAAATTCGCATTTAAACCAGCGTTACAAATTTACACTCGATTTGACTCGTCGAAAGTAAACATTCGGATAATTCTCTACCATTAACTACATGGCAGTTGGGGATACTATGTCGGCACCTGTGCCTTGGGTACGGCCTCTCCCGAACAGTCAAGTAGTTACAGACTCCGGCCGCGAAAGCATATGCTCTCAATTCTATTCCATGATTTTTTAGTTCTTACAGGAGGAATCTTAGTTACAATATACGTGCTTTATAACGGGTGGGAGAATAATTTTTTTAAGATTATTTTACTTCAGACTCATCGCATGTTCTTCTTGACGAATGAAAAGTTACCGAAAAATTATAACGAGTCTGCGAGACTTGAAAAATTACTAAAATAACGTAGATTCCAGGAAAGGAAATGCAGTGAAACTTGTTCACGACGGAACCTCAAGGGACCTGTATTGATTTTTTTTCTTCGTATTAGACAATTCCGCATTATGCAATGTAATGCCGTAGAACTTATATTTGAGGACCACAATTAATGTTCACATTAGACAGATTTTCGCATTATGCACGTTCCGCATTGGGTAAGTTATTGTATTTTTAAAAGTTTCAATAATGTTAAATTAGTGATAAACTTTTCATAATGAATTTAATGTCATAATGATTATTCACAGAATACACAAGTTTAAAATTTTCGTCTTCCCGTGGACATCCGTCATTAAATATTTCTGTTGTATCTAACAGTAGATCGACCGTATCGCAGCTTCGATGTTTGCTGTAGAAACGTGAAGTAATTATCAAAACATCAACAGAACGGAATCCACAAAATAAAACAAGGGACACACGCGGCCGCTCTCTGAGCCAACTTGAATTGTTCTTTAGTTAATACAGCGTTATAGAAATAAATCAGAATACTGTCCTCAGAACATCCTTTATTGTTCTCTGAGGTCATTACTTCCTGTTAGTACTAATATGCTTTATGTCGTCACCAGAATATTATTAAAACATGCACTGCGAAGTCTAAGACCGGAACGGTTAGTAAAATGTAAAAAGTTACTTAGATTTGGATGTATTATATCAAAAAATAGTAAAACTGAATGTGACGTATGGGGGAGAAGCTCATCTGCGCAAGTTTTCTTGAGTTCCAGAATCCCTTCCTATCATTTTAACTATAAATAGTTGAAAGATGAGTTAAAGTTTTAAAGAATTTAAAAAAAAAACAAATTAAAAAAGCGCGCGATTGGCAACATTTGAAAAACTAGACATTTTCGTTCCCGAATTATAGAAAAGTTATTTGCAACGGTAAACTAACTGCAGATTTGATTTTTGTGCATTGCTAACAAAATAGTAACTCGCTCTTACCTTTACTCCTACAACTATAAGCAAAAGGAAAGTTCAACAAAACGTGCGCATAATGAAGCTATATTTATGTCGAGAAGCAAAACAAGGGGCCATCTAAGCATTTACTCAATGGATAAGGGCAACTGGACAAAAAACTGATCGAGATGGGGGACATTGACCCGGAAGTTGAAGTACATTATTAGTTACAAGCATATTAAATTTTTAAAAAATTATACAATACAAATGTATTGTAAGACATTATATATTACTGTTTTGCTAGCATATCTTTTTCTTTTTGACGATCAGTATAGTCTCTAATTGTATTAAAACAGTTGTATAGAATGTTATATGATTTCGATGTCAAACTTGTTTAAGGTGTGTTTGCGCCTCAAACGTCAATAGTCTGTTTGTGGAGCAAGACAAACTAAAAGTCCGATTATGCATCAGAGAGCAGCGCGTGCGCCGTCGGATTAATTGAATGGGTTAATGTTTGTGTGAAGAGAATGTGGCCTCCGAGGGCAGGCGGGGCTAAGCAGAGCGACCGAGCGGCGCCCCGAGGCCTCCCGCGGCTGCCTTCCAAGACCTCTGGCTGCGCCCAACGACAAAAAGCGTAGCGCCTTAAAAACGCGCCAGAGCCGAAAGCCGACACGGCCGTCCCACGCGAGCAAACAAAGGAGCGGCTCCTTGCTCCCCCGCCCACAGCACCAGGCTCAAGACGCTCCCTGCAGGCGGCAGCGACGACGCTTTGTGCGACCAGGCTCGACTTCATTGCTGATCAATCCACTCGAGCAATGCGAGCTATCTGGGCTGGCTGGGCTGGGCTCGGGCTGGGCTGGGCTGGGCTGGGCTGGGCTCAAACTAGCAGTTTTCATTTCAAAAAGGAGTTGTTCTGGCACGCATTTACCATGTTTCGTATTCAACACCGTGCTAAACTATTATAATAAAAAAATAGTAAATACCGAAATGTGTCAAAACCAGATGTGTCAAAACCACATGTTTGAACAAAGAACATATTTTCGAACACTATTTTCTTTCTAATATTACATTTGTTTTGTTTCTGAAGAAAATACGATATTATTATAAACTAATATTCAGAATAAAATTCATCTTCGTTCAAAATGATGTCTGTCAAAAACATTTGAAACTTTCCAGTTCTTTGAGCGACTGCTTTATTAACTGATACAATATTATTAGCATACACGCTAATAAATAATAGTAGATCAAGGAATTGTGCATTTACTACAATTAGTACCGCACATGGTTTCAGTGAGGATCAAGAATTAGTTTCCAGGAGAAAGAAATAGTGCTTTAAAAAGTGATGTCCATTGAAATAAATGGACATTCCCCGAAAAAAGTAATTCTCAAATATAACAGTCGTGTACTAGATCAAATGCATGACCTGCCACATGCATCATTGAATTTCGGGCAAAAAGAACTATGAGAAGGCATGTAAACGCCGTAGTTACATCCAATCTTAGCGTTCCGTGTTGGAATGGAGTTAAGCACAGGGCAAACTTGGGGCGATTAAGTCGTAGCCGGCAAAGTTCAATATGATATCGGTATACACCTTCTTGTAATGAAGTTCGTAGCACGAAACAGCGACCCTCATGGTCCTTTTGATAAAACACTACAGAGATTCGAATAGTTCCTTCCGATACAATTTTAGCCAAGTTTCCCAATTACTGAAATACTTTTAGGACATATTTCACAAACTGCCTTTCAAATATTTAATCACGAGGAAAAATGTTGCAAACCAATTTTCCAAATGGAACTGCTCAAATTAGTAATGTGACCTCAATATATAGTATAATTTGATATTGTATAATCTGAACGCAATCTATTATATATCTTATGTGCAATTTAACACATCAGACCATGTTGATAACTGATACAACTAATAAAATGGATGGTATCTTCTCTAGCAATTACAAAATCATCCACAAATTCTTGCCGCCGAACACAACCCCCCCCCCCAAATGTGACGAACAACATATGCGATTCAAATAAACCTAAGCCCAATATTGAGAGCTTTCGTTTCTTCTGTATATGCCTCTAAGAGTGGTTCACCGCGGACTTCACAACGTAGAGTCATCCTTAGCAAAAATGTGTAAACCATTACCGCCAAAACATTCACCTCTGAAGGCTATCTTCCCAGAGATAAATTCCGCCTCTGTGCAGCACGCAGAGCGGCTAATTAGCCGCACACGGAGCGGCCAAGCAGCACGACTTGTTTTCGTGCTCTCCGCCAACGTCTGGAAAACTAAAACTTAAGTTCGGTCGGAAAATGCCACAAAAGTCTTGCTTATTTCGCAGCAGTGGAGCACGCAATGCCTTTGGACAACACCACGTCGCAGGGCATAGTCTGCGCTGGCATTGGCCCCGTACTTGCCCAAAATCGGCCCACTCTCCAGCTGCCTCTTAACACAATTACGTTTTTTTTTACCAGATTCAGCCGTTGCGCCTTTATTCCCTAGCAAAATGCCGAGAAGTACTAGAGTTGCTGTGAAGAACTTCCGATGGCCGATATCTACAAACCTTTCAGTAAATAGTTTTCTTTTAGCTGTTGCATCATTTGTTGCTGAACTGACACACAAAAACTGCTATTCACAATATTATAATATTCTTCGTGGGAATACGTGTGAAATACAGAAACACATTGAGAATGGTTACCGGTGCTGACAGCTCTTCCTTTGAGACTTGGACAGCGCTCTCCCCAAAACCATCACGGGATAGTTGTAGAAGTTTTTTTTCTTACATCAAATCGACTCGTTTAACTTATATAAAGACCCAGCTCGTTTTAAGGGCGAACATAATTTCTTGAGCTCACTTCAGCGAATGATCAACGCTTTTGTAATGGGTCACCGTCCCCGGCCGTTGCATGCTAGACAATGGATGCATGTGGAAAGAGTGCGGGCACTGGAGTCTGGTTGGGGCAGCGTGGTACTAGTACGGTATTGAAAAGCAGAAGCCGCCCGAGCACGGTTGAAAGAGGTGCCTACGATTTAAGCATATTAACTAAAAGAACATGGGCCCTTTCATATGATTTCCAAAATTACTGTTTCGTTTGCTGTAAATATTTTTGGAAAATATATTATCGTAAGCACAATTACATCTTCTGTGATCGTAAAAATTGTCTGACAAGGATTTTTTGCTTGCAAAGCGGTCGTACACTACGTGCTATAGTTTGCCCCCCCCCCTTCACTCCCGTAAGCCGCAAAATTAATTGGTCCGGTCAGATTCAAGTGATTATTCTCCGAAATGAAAACCCTTTTACATGTACCACTTTCTTGCGCACCTACTACATCTATATCTGCTGTGTTCTGCTTACTCCCTGTCGTCAATTGCATCCTGCAAAGATCTATAGAACTAAAAAGTGGACCTGTTTACAATTTATTGATAAAATTTGTATGACCTCATTGACTTTAATTGGAAGGAAGAGAACAATCCAAACAATTGCGCTGAGATCATTTCAATATAACATAGATTTCTCTAGCACTGCTAGTAATGTAATATAATAAACCCTCGGTAGTAAGCACTCTCTTACCACCAATTTCGCCGCCACACGCAACAAAATTTGGGTCTCGATTATATACGTTATCGGATAACAAGCATTTTTATCACACGAACATGGATTCTTTTCGCCCCTTGAATTGCTGTTAACGAGGTTTTATTGTATTAAATCCAAGTGAACATATTTTCCAATGTCATCCTCATTCATGCAAATGTATTACGTTGCCACTACATCTACTGTATAAAATTATCAACCACAACGTAGATTGCGTCATTGTTTCACGATAACAGGAAACAAGACGGGAAGTGGGTGCGCAACTATGCAGTGAAATACCAACGACCGCAGATGTGTGAATAAGCGAGTTCTCAGCACACAACCCTGCGTCGGTATCCTGTGACCACAATTACCTTGGCGAACAAATCCAAAAGCGTGTTACTAAGAAAGCCAATCAGGTGCTATTTTCCCATCTAGACACCAATCACTCTACTTATCGCAATGTATACAACACTCCAAACGATACACGCTTTAATTTGCAGTGCATGTGAATTATATTATTTACATTGATTGAGTTCTGGATCATTATTGCATTTCCCAAATTCATGTATACTCTGGATGAACTCTTAGTACTCGAAACTATTCTCATTTACACATACACATTCACATTTATATTTTGTGAAAATGATTTATTTTACAACTAAAATTTTAAACTGATTAAATTGAACTTTTAACACTTTTTCAATTGAAACTTGATTCTACCTGGGATCAGTGTCAAATCCTTAACGTTACTTTTCGCAGAAACTACATCGACAATTGCGTCATCCAATGTACATCAACCAAACTAAGATTTAAAACTTAATGGTAGTCAGAGTCTAATTACTTTATCATTTTCTTAAGAGTGTCTGCCTTTTATTAAACTAAACAAAAATTTAAAAAATTATAGTTCAAAATAAAATATTGTTTACGAGAACGGATTTGAACTTCGGTTTCATTAGGGTCCGTTCTATAATTACCCCTCATTTTTTTATAACTATTAGTCTATTAAGGGCGAAATAATATTGATTTCGTACTATTGTAATTTATTTGAAAATTAAGAAGTGTATTTTATATTGAAGACTACTATTTAAACCTACAACAAAATACAGAGATATTTTTAGTTTGTGACCCTGTTCTCCTTTATTGGATACTGCGTCCACTTAACCCTGAACAATTGCAGTTGCAAATGGATAAATGGCCCTCTTCACTCTGACGTGAATAAAAGTGAAAAGAATAAAAAATAAAAGACTCTTTCCGAATACCTGTAACGCTTTATTGAAAGTCAAAAACTGTTGAAAGCTGTGTTTTTAGCAAGAATGTATAAGAAAATATTCGCTCCCGTCCAACAAATTATTCCTAAAGACCAACCAGCTACAGATTTTGACTATTGTCTCTTATCGTGCCCTTTGTGAAGGAATCGACTTCCATTCTTGAGAACAAGAAGAACGATAATTTGAATAACAATATTTCCCATTGAACTCCAGAAGACGTTCACAGATAGTAAAGTTTTATTTATATCCAGAAGCAAAACAATATTCGTCTTAGCATTCTCTCAAAGGATCAGGGAAACTTGACGAATGGGATATTTGTTACAGGCAGATTTAGCTTTTTAAAATTATAAGTGGTAACTAAAGGATTCTACAGGAAACTTAACCTTGTCTATCGATTTTAATAGTTTAATGTCATCTGGTTTGTGTTCGGTTTTTTGGCGTCCCGAACGAAGCGCGTAAAAAGAAACATTTGTAGCAAATATAGAAAAGGAACAAAACGACTAATATTTACACGAGGAAGATATCAGCTAGTATAACTGATGGCAAATCATCTACAGTTTAAATGATCAACTGAATTATAGCAGCTGGATAGTTTTGTCAAAACAAAATTAGTAAATTATTTTAGTGGAGCCCATGCATATGTATCTACCGCTATTAAATGATAAGAAACTTGTTAAACATTTTTATTTTTCACAATACAAAAGACAAAACTTCAAGAGCACTTATGTTCACTGCATGCGCTAAAGGCGTGTGTAAATCGACTACTGAATAAACCGAAACGAATAGCAAAACAGTGCATATTCCAACGGGCATTAAACACCACCCGAGAAGCCAGCGCAAAGCCATTAATCCACCCCAGCCTCCGCCGGGCACTGCCTCCTGCCCCGCGAACGCCGCTCCCAGAACAGGTTCCGAGCACTCGCTCCCCACCAGCAGCCGCGCTCCGACACGGAAATGGCTCCACTCCGAGCATCTATAGCAACAACGTATACGGCAAAGACTACAAAAAATTAACTAATAACCAACCATGAATACAACCAAAATAACCAAATATAACTATCCACTCTCACAAAGGAAGTCACAACAGCCGTTAATTTCCTTCAACAATGCAATGAAT